AAACCGTGACCACGAAACCGTGAATCGAACCGAACCGTGGATTTTGTGAACCGTCCCACCCCTAACCGGAGCTCTGAGGAGATAATTGGAATATAGTGGGTAATCGGCCTATTTGGACTCCTGTCTGCAGACATGGTCCCGCTCCCATTGGCCGGTGCCGGTGACGGCTACAGCCACCCCCCCCCCCTGTCCCGGCTGCTGTCCCCGCAGCCCGGGGCCGGTCAGGCCGCCCCCGTGCAGGCGGCCCACTTCCAGACGTCCCCGCTGCTGCACGCCTTCGTGGGCCAGCACATCCTCTCCGTCAGGCAGTTCAGCAAGGAGCAGGTAGGATGCGTCTCCACGCCTCTAAAACGATCAATGCGCTGCTTTTTACTCCGGTTTTGTCTCCTTCCTCTCTGTTTCAGATCTCACACCTTTTCAACGTTGCTCACACTTTGCGTTTGATGGTTCAAAAGGAGCGAAGCCTGGAAATCCTAAAGGTATCTCCAAGAAGTTCAATTAAATCCCACACAGGAGTTGAAATAAACACTTTGTGTTTTAAGGTTTTTGGGTGAAATCCAGTTGATCCCAGTAGCTCAGTGGTGTGTATGTGGAGCTCTAAGCTGCTTTCTTCCCCCCCCCCCCCCCAGGGAAAGGTGATGGCGTCCATGTTCTTCGAGGTGAGCACGCGCACCAGCAGCTCCTTCACGGCAGCCATGCAGCGCCTGGGCGGCTCCGTCGTCCACTTCAGCGACTCCACCTCGTCCTCCCAAAAAGGAGAATCGCTGGCAGACTCTGTGCAGACGATGAGCAGCTACGCCGACGTCCTGGTGCTCCGGCACCCAACGCCCGGCGGCGTGGAGGTGAGTCTCAGCCTCAAGCTCTCCAAGAGAGCTCATAACTCTCCAAGAGAGCTCATAACTCATTTCCACCAAATGAGTTATTTTTGAACGATTCAGTCAAGTTTTTTTTGTCCATCTAAATGCATCTGACGCCACGTTCCCACAAAAAATAAACAAAAAACAACTTTTTTTCCCCTTTTATTCAGCTGCCACTTTAACTAACAAACTAGTTCAAATGGTAAAACTTTATTATTCATACAAATCTTTACCTTTCTTGCTCCTACAGTCAAGTGAAAATTAAATCATAAAAATCAATTAAAAAAAGTGTATTTAACATTCTTTTACATCATATTCCCGCTAATTCAAAAGGTAATTATAACGAACGCTGAGTAGGGAATGAAGATGTGAATGAAAATGTCCTGTAGATGGGTGATTCTCCAGTAATCTTTTCATTCCCACAGTTTGTTAAAGCTTGAAAAGCAAATACTTATTTTTTTATTTCAAAATAAAAGAAAATAATTTTATTTTACATTTGTTGCTAGAAAAAATGGGTAATTGAACAGCGTGCAAACACAGTAGTGATCACAGTGTGAACCTGTGTGCTGTTGGTGGAAATAAAGACGCTGACCCATTGGGTAATTGGTTAATGGGTGAGGAGACGGTAGTCATTCATGGCAGTTTTGGAGTGACCTCTTCTTGTCTTCGGCACACAGAAAGCGTCTCGCCTTTCCCGTAAGCCGGTGATCAACGCGGGCGACGGCGTGGGCGAGCATCCCACCCAGGCCCTGCTGGACGTCTTCACCATCAGGGAGGAGCTGGGCACGGTCAACGGCATGACGGTCAGAGGCCACTAAACGGCTTGAATTTGATTGTTTTTGTGCTTTACTCATTGACTGCCAGCCATTTTCAGAACAGAGTCCCATACTGCCAGAGTTTTTTGAGCATTTTGACTGATTTTTCAAGAGCCACAGAATAGTTTGTGCTATGACTATGTAAACACCGAACACGCCAAAAGAAAGAGTAGACTTTGTTCTTTCATCATGAAAAAAAAAATTGTTTCTACCTTATTCCGTTCTTCCTCGACGTGCGTCTCACCGGCGACATGTTCTCTCATAGCGAACCGTTACGTTTTTCTTATTTGCCTACAGTCTATGCTCATCTCCCATCAAAAGTGGCACTGCCACCTAGAGGGTCAATTTGTTACTACATACTCTGTCTAGAAGCCTGATATTTACGGACAAGCTTTAGCAGATCGTCCCCCAAGCCACTCGCGTTGGAAAACATAAAAGACGTCTATAAACGTCTTTGGCAGTCAATGAGTTAACGGGAGGGAGACTTTGTGCTTTGTGCCTGTTTGAACTCGTGCTTTCTTTAGATCACCATGGTCGGGGATCTGAAACATGGCCGCACCGTCCACTCTCTGGCCAAACTGCTGACTCAGTACCGCATCACGCTGCGCTACGTGGCGCCCAAAAACCTCCACATGCCAGCAGAGATCACCAACTATGTGGCCTCTAAAGGGATCAAGCAGGTGGGAGCCAAACGGCCGAAAGCACCACGTTGAAGTGTTTACAAAATGCTGGCAAGAGATTAGGTTTGTTTTTCATTCCCCCCTTTGTTTTTGTTTTTGTGTAGGAGACCTTTAAAAACATCGAGGAGGCTCTGCCAGAGACCGACGTGCTCTACATGACCCGGATTCAGAAGGAGCGGTTCGGATCTGACGAGGAGTACCAAGCCGTAAGTCCAGAACAAACACAACTTTATTGGGTCCTCCAGCAAGAAAGACAATTTAGGTTTGGATTAATCCAACACACTTAGTTCAATGTAATGGCTTTACTTTACACTTCCATTCAAACGTCTGCCTTTTAAGAGCTGTAGTGGTTTGAGAGGGCACATAGTAAATGACCTCAGAGATCTGATCACACACCAAATAGAAAAAATGCCCCAAAGGTGCTTTTCAGATGCAGCTTGCGGATGTCAGACATTTAACAAAGAGCTGTTAGACCATTATGTAATAAAGAGATTTGACTTAAGAGCAAATCAAAAGCAAGAGCAAAGAAGTCTCACCTTCTTGCTTTGGCTGATAATCTGATGTAGTATGGAGGGAAAAATGCAGACGGAGAAATTTGTGTGGAGGGATGGAAGGGGTTTTGAGTTTGTGGTGACTTTAGACGTCCAAAGATGAGCTGTGAAATATGAAAAAAGGACCAGAAGCAGACTGCTTACAGGAATTTTGAACTCTTTCAGTGTTTCGGTCAGTTCATCCTGACTCCTCACATCATGACGGCCGCCAAAAAGAAGATGGTGGTGATGCATCCACTGCCCAGAGTCAATGAAATCAGGTAAAGAGACCCAATGAGTTTATAATGTCATCACTCAATGTCCTGTCTTGTTTCCAGAAATGTCTAAATGATGATTCATCAGGCTTGGATAATAATCTTAATCTTTGTTTTTCTCAGCCCGGAGGTGGATACAGACCCGAGGGCGGCGTACTTCCGTCAAGCAGAGAATGGCATGTACATCCGAATGGCTCTTTTGGCCACCGTACTGGGCAAATAAATCCATGGGCTTCTTGTTTCTAGCCCAAATAGTCAGTGTTACAACTACAAACCCGTTAAAAAAGCACCACGTGTGTGTTGTTTCCTCAAACTGTGAATTTCTGGAGAGGAGGCTGGATTTAAAGAGATTAACACATCATTCATCTAGTTTACAAAATGCTGAATAATTAATCTAGTTACAAAATGCTGAAATGCTTCCTTTGTTACTAGTCAATAACATCTTTAATAACACAGAGAAGCTTTTTACCGACTGTGAAAAATGTTTTCATGTTGACATTCATCTATTTTTGATATCTGGGAAAGTGGGCCGGAGACACCTTTTTAAAGGGGGAAAAGTGAATGCAATGAAATTTACATTTTTGTACTATGAGAAATGTGTATTTTACTAGTCGAGTAAAAGCTGAAGTCTCTGAGTGACTAACCTGCTGCATTATGTGTGAACGCTTCAAAGGGACCATGTCTGGATGTTAAAAAGGGCTAAATGCATCATTTCATTGTGCACATACATGTTCTATTCTGGCCAACAGGGGTGTTACACGAGTTGTATAAAAGTCTTGTTTTCTTTTGTTGGCTGAAATGAGACCAAAAGGAAACGCACTGTCTTTGGATGACTTATGAGTATTGCTACTATTGTCAGTGATTTATTTACTGCAAAAGGAGTTAATGAAGTGTTATGTTCATGTGGAAAAATAAAAACACTTTTGAATAAGGATGCAGCCTTTATTTTACATTTGTGTCACGGCATTAAAAACCACACAGGGTTAGAATGCCCTATGTGGACTTACACAGATGAGACATGACACAAAAATCTTTATTAATCTCTTTTTAGTGCTGTCACATTTAATTGCAAACATCTTCACTTAAGGTCAATTAGCAATTGGAAGCTCCTATACAACTTTAACTCAACGCTGAGTTAATGTACAGCCAAACATTAAGATCTAAGTCGGATCAATAATTGTGGAAAAGAAGTTCTTAAGCCCATGTGAATAAATTTGAAACGTGTAGGGAGCATAAGGAAAAACATTTGGTAAAAACGTTATTACATTTGCTGATATGTAAAACAAAATGCTAAATTTTAATACTGATCCATAAGCATGTGAAAATCTTTTCAATTTGCTGTAAATACGGACAGGTGAATCGGCTCTAATGCTGCGTTCAAGAATATCTGTTTAACATCAGCTTTCTAGCTTCAAGCGAGTGACTCAGCGAAAAAATTATAAAAAAATATTAGATTTTTCCGAGTGCATCTCTGATCGATCACTTGTATTGATTAACCTGGATATTCCAGTTTGCAGAACACTGGTCTGTTAAATAAATGCAAACTAGTCATTTACAATTTTAGGTTACTTTAAAATCCGTTACTTTTGTATTCCCATCGGGCGGATTTCGACTAAAATCTTGAAAGCAACACCCCGCATCCTTTATTTCCTGGAAGGAGGAGCTACACGGGAAGGAGCCGCCACAGCGGGCTGTCACTTGCCAGCTACCGGCTAACGGTACCGTGATTTTGCCCCGTTAACTGCGAGTTAACAGATTTTACCGGATGCCTCTATGATCCACCCAACCTCGCAGCGAGATACACGGTGTTCAGTTTCCACGAGGTAAGCAATTTCCGTTTTGCAAAATTAGCAAGAGTAAGGTTAGCTTACCGCGTTTAGCAGAGCCCAAGGCAGACCGACGTTAGATTAGCTCTCAGTTTGTAAAAAAAAAAACCCGTTAATACTACACTAAACTTACAAATGTTTAACTCACGGCCATATGTGCAAACATGTTTTCCCTTAGCTTTAAACTTAGAGGTTAGCGTTAGACAACATTAAACCAATGCTAACTTAATTCAGATTTTTTTTTTTAAATGTGATTAATTAAAGCTTCGATATGCTAATTATGCGTTTAATGCGCGCCGAATGGATTCTAAGATACCGATAAGACGTCTTAAAATGTCTCCATGGCCGTTCCGTGTGTTTATGTTCTCGCACAATTCGAAAATAATTTAAAAACCTTTGATTCTCAACGGAGATTGTTGTCATGCCAACGCATCTTTTCCTATCTGTTGCTAAACACAAGGCGACATTGTTTCTCATCATTTACATGCATTTGGTTATGAAATTCTGCCTCAACAACGTGGGTTTGGCTGCAAGACGGTCCCCTTTTAAAATGTATGGTTAGAAATAGTTTTTACGCCTGACGGTTTCTTTTGGGGTGTGTAGAGTATTAGAAAGTCAGAGAGAATTGACACAACGGAGAGAAAACGTCTTGTTAAAGGTGGATAGTCGGAATGGCCCTGGTACACTCATGAATGGCTGGGTGTTAAATAGAAAGTAGTTCTGCCAGTGAAGGGGATTAGCAAAAGGATTAGAGCTCTACAAGGACAAACAGACGAAAATCACGCGGTATTCTTCCCTTGATAATCGTTACTTGAACGCACCGTTAGCTTTGGCACGACACTGGTGGGACTGGTTTCCATCCGTTAACTGGGAGATAACTGGGAGATAATGGTGGGGAGATGATGTCACCCTTCTGCCACACAGGGAGCCCTGACAGCCATATGGGCTCACCTCTGCTGCATTTGAGAAATGATAGTAAAATCCTGGTCTAATGACCCGTTTATTGGGGAGGAAAATTCAGTTTTGCTCTGAATTTCACCCCCAAGTCATTGTTTTTCTAATCAAGTCTTTATAATTAAATGTATCAAAAGCTGTGGACTGTGCAGCACTGTGAGAAAGATCTTAATCCACCCCAATTTCTCAATAATTCGCTTGCAATAAGCTGTAATTTAGTTTTAATCTTTTGAAAAGAGACTTGAGCAACAGTTTTCCTGACTTTCTAAAGGTCTTTTTTAAAGCTTTTATTTGAACATATATGTTTTTTCTCCTATTATTAGTTCATTTCCTTGTTTAACTGATCATTACTCCAAATCTGGGACTCAGGAGCTGCTGCCCCGCAGGTTTGAGATGTTTCCCGGCTCCAACACCCCTGGTTTAGATTCAGTGGAACTCTTCCAAAGATTGTTAAGCTCCTCAGAAGTCAGCCAAAGGTGCAGTGATTTGAATCAGCTGTGTTTAAGCAAGGGAACGATTTTAAATGGTGTCTGTAGGCACCTTACGGGCAGCTTGTCACAAAATCCCATCATTTGTCCTCCCCTGCAATATTGCACCTGTGAAAGATGCTGGAGATTACACCGAAAATAGGAGTTTTACAACATCAGCGTGTTTACTTCATCAGATTTATGTGGAGGGGCTAAAAATCCCATCTAGCCTAATATAGTTTATATCAGTATATTAACATGGACAGTGGACAAAAATATTAGAATCAGTTTTAGCAGCAACAAAAAATTTTCTTTTAGTTCAAATGCATGAATTATTCTTTTAAGTTGATTGATGGATGGATGAATTTATTTAGGAGCAAAATTGTGCCTCTAGATGGATGTGTTTGTCCTGAACGGGCAGACTAACAGCAAATAGCTTTTAAAATGTTAAATACAGTCTTTAGTGTCAACTTAAAGTGCTTAAGGGGAAGAAAAGAGGACTTATGTATTTAGGATGAAATGCAGCAGCGTTTCAGGACCAATAGGAAGGAATTAGTCAAAAATCTACTCTGTTAGCTTTTCATGTCGCCCTTTGGGTGCTGAGTCTGTGTGATGGGATCATCATGCTGCAGCCATAGCTGGAAAAAAGGCTTTCTTAAACATCCATATATCTAACCTACTGCAGGCATCTTATCAGTTGGACTTTATGCTCTCGGGTAAGTTCATAGAACTTACCAGAACTTACTAGCTAGTGCCCAAAAGTCCACTTTCAAAACGCTCTTTGCTTTTCTTATCAGCCTCTGCTGATCCTGCCCCCCCCCCTCTGTCAACAGTGAGCAGTTCAGGTTCATATTTTAGCTTTGCTACCTGCTCCGCTGTACATTATATTTCTGTAGTTTATGAGGGAGCTGTGTGACAGAGGGGCTTAGCTTAGCTTAGTTAGGCTGGTTGAATCGCATACCTGGCATATCAGACACACTGTGAAGTCATTTTTTTATTTTAGGAGACGCCTTTCAGGCTTTGACCACCAGCTTTGATGTTCTTGACTATTTTTAGCTTTTTTTTTCCTTTTCTTTAAAAAAAAAAAAGATTTGCATGTGTGTAAAGATAGATCAGAGACATAAATGCTTTCTACATTTATTTGAATACAAATGTGTTTTTTAATAAGCTGTCTTAGTCTTCAAATTTTACTAATCAGATGGCAAAAAATAATTATTACTTTAAGATATTGTTGCTTAGTAAAAAGGAGTTCAGTTTAAATATCGGTCTAATGGAATAAACTCGAAACTAGTGTTTTCTCTGCCCATCATTTAACAAGGAACCCGTTTTAGATCGTACATTTATTGGCTTTGTTGCAAGTAGCCCGTCAGTAAGACACATCTGTGCCTTAAACATTTTTTTTTAGCTGATCTGTGAAAAATGCCAGCGTCTTGTGAAAGACAAGACCCAGAGGACGGAGGCTGTGACGGGGACCAAAAGAGCTCAGACCAGATATCCACTTTTATGTTTGGTTTATTTAAAAATGTGTGTCTTCCTCCTGACAGCCTCTCAGAAAACAGCCATGAGACCAAAAGTTGGATAAAGGAGGCCGTAAAGCGGTCCACAGACCAGCTCTGAGCCTCGGCTCCAGGAAACCCGCAGTTTGCCAATTAACTAATAGATTTGGCTCGGCGATAGCTGATCGATGGCTTCAGATCGAGGGGGGGGGGGAATAGAAGCTTTTCACCTTGGTTTGTTTGCACGTTTGGAAATATTGACGGCAGCCATCTTGGCTCCAGCCGGGGCTCCATCTGGACCCGCGGCGTTTCTGTCTGTTGTTGTTAATTTGTTTCAGTCAACTTCCCCTTTGACTCTTCTTCTGGTGTTTTTTCCCCGTGTAACGGACACTCAGAGTCCTGCTCTGACCTCTGCTGCTTTTAAAAAAGTGTGATGATCATCTCTTTGTTAAATCGCGCGCTTTATTTTTTAGGTATTCTGTGAATCGGGACTCTTTTGTGAATGGACTCTCCTCGGACATGATCTCCCTCTCAAGTGGGAAACATTTGGTTATGTAACCTGTAAAATTCCTCAGGCGGTCCAGGCTGACACACATTATGTTTTCTGCTCACACCATCACTGTGATGCATTTATGTGTTTCTCTCTTTGCTGAATTTAATGCTGAGCTTTGTGTTTGATTCCAACTGGGTCAGTCTTTTCTTTTTCTTTACGCAAGTATTTCGTTTTTTCTCTGATCATAAAACCATTCAAATCAATGTCGATGCGCCAACATTTCCTAATGGAGGAATTGTCAGAAGCCTTATTAAATCTGTGATGTCGAGGTGTCTTTTATCCAAAAATTGTGGTCTTTAATGGGCTTTTCAAAGCATATTTTGGTCTGTTTTTCTGCTTTCGGTTTAAAAAAAAGACAGTGCTGATTTGAGGCACCATCTGGCACAGTAGTAAAATGCATCTAAGCAGAATTAAGCTCTTTCCTTTTTCACATCAGTCGGCTCTTAACTAATGAGGAGAGATAATAAAGGAGAGGCCGCTTTCTTTTGCGGCGCTGGAATCGTTCAGGTCATTTTCTGACCACGAGCAGAACGGAGGTGTTAAAGGGGCAGCGGTCATCAGCCTCCCGACCAGACACTGCGGTCCTCTCCAGAAAGACGCCCTCGGGATGGGGGTCTAATTTTAGAAAGCACGGCGTCTGCCTGACTGAAAGGAGCAAAAAGTGAGAGGCGTCGCTTTGCAAACACTGACGAAGCATCTCACCGAGGCAGAGATGGTATTTTTTAAGGGTGAAGGTGATAAACGGGTTTGATTTATCACATGACTTCAGGGCAGGAGAGCAAACGGGAGGAAAAGTGAATGCACCAATGCCCTCAGATGCTCCCAGCTGTAATGAAATGTTCCCAAACCGGATCCCAGTCAGGCTAAAGGCTTTCACCAGAGCTGTGCTTCAAATGTGGGTTCATTTGGCTTTTCATAAGCTTTAAGTGCATTGTTGGACTGCCGGCCTCCAGTTTGATCAGCCGGACGACCAAAAGTAAAAGAAACTGGAAAAAGATGCTGTAAAGGGAAAATGAGATTATAAAAATCAAATAAGAGAAGTTGTAGGTAATTTGTTATGAACGTATAAAGAGGCTTTACTGTTGGAATTTAAATTTATTTTCTTTTGTTTGTGTGTTGTTGTATTTATTCAAAGTTCATAGATTATTCATATAATAATTATCAAAGTTAAATCAAATGTTGAGAAGTGAACACTTCCTTTTCTCCTCCTAACGTGACTATCTGAGGGGTTTTGATGAACATGTGACTTTGTCCTGCTCAGCTCCCCAAACAGAGGCCTCATTCACTCATTAGGTGAGATCAGTAACAGTTTATATAATCCCAGTTTTTTATTTTTTTATTATTCAGCCGCTGGCTGTAATGTGAGGCGATTTAGCAGATGAGCGCGTCTGAGGCCCAGAAGTTTGGCTGGTTTCTGTCTGAAAAAGCCTCAGCAGAGCTGGTTCCCGGGTCCGTTCTGGCCCTCCTGGAGGCTCCGTCTGGTCAGACTTCGGCCCACAGCGGATCCTCTCCTGTGCATGTGTGGTCAACCGTTGTCCAGTCAGACCGGCCAGGATGTGGGCCTTGTCTGAATGTGTAATCTGTTCAATCAGCAGAATGTAATCTTCTTTACTGGATGACCCAGGTGGCGTGGCTTGTGTGGCTGAGTAATAGTCATGTGCCTTTGTGCCACAGATGAACACAAGTCTCTCTGTGCTTTTGGGCCTCTCATCCTGTCGCTCTGTGTTTGTGCCCGGCTCCACGAGGAGGCTGGCATCGTCCCACTGAGATGCACGCCGGGAATTATGGCTCTAATCCGCCATTCAACCCATTCTTTTACGGTTTAAAGTGTAAGATTTGGTGCAGAAGTCAGTAAGCTTTATTAAGTTTAGGTTTTTTGCGGGTGGCAGAAAACGGGCATCGCCCTCATTGTCTTCGCTGATGTTTCTGTTGAAGTTTGGAGGAGAATTTAAAGGAGCTGGTTAGCCGTTCGGCCTTGGGGATGACTTCTACATCATCACTCATTCTAAAAGCAGCCAGCGGATGTTAACTGACTACATAAAGAGCTTTGTCTCCATGAATCCACAGAGTCTGTCTTTGTTCGGGGATCTAAGCAGGAAGCAAATACTTTGAACTTCCCGAAATGATCTTCTCACCATTCGATAGACCTGTTTCTGATCCAGAGATTTTGGGCTCCTGTTTTCAGAGGTGAGCCATGGCTGAACAGAACTCCTCCCGTCCTCAGAGGAAGATGTCCACAGCTGGAGAGAGTGTGTACAAGATTTTAGGGCTGGAGAAAGGAGCTTCAGCGGAGGACATCAAGAAGGCGTACAGGTGAGCTTTCTCTTTAGGAGCCAATAGCTTTGCAGCATTGAAATCATTCCAACTATTTTGTCCTGAATCTTAAGCCCCTGTTCTCCTTGGGAAATGTCTACCCATTTGTTGCTGTGAGGGAGGCTTTCGTCCACAAAGTCCAGAACAAAATGTCCAAAAGTTTGAGTTTCACTGAGACGAAGGTCTACTGACAGAGAGACCAGCAAGATGAGTCCTAGCATTAATACACAAAATTGACCGGGCTAAAAGAGAAGACCAACAAAACCACAAACCTGGAAGATCTTTGTCCCTAGAAAGCTGATGGCAGACAAAAAACTGTCGAAATTAGCAGGACCGAACAAAAACCTGAGAAGCCAAGAACTCTGACCAGTGAGGCACGAAGGCCAAAAAAAGACTTTCTCCCTCAGAGGCATGAATGTTGATCAATATTTTGTTGTTGGATGTTATCGAGCTCAGGTTCATGAAATGCTGCAGCGGGGCTGCTCTGACCCTCCAGGGTTGGGCTAGGGTTACCTCATTAAGGGTCGAGGTTACCTCATTAAGGGTTAGGGTTA